TGGAGATGAGGGGCGGCACGGGGCCGGGGCAATACCCCGGGGGAGGGGAGAACCACATCCCTGCCCCGGGCGACGTGGGCGCGGAGGACCGGGGTGCCGCGGGGGGAGGGGGCGATGGAGGGAATGTTCGGGAGCACGGAGGGGAGGCGGCGGGGTGGGGGTGTCGGAGAGCTCGGAGGGGGGAGGCCCGGAGGAGCGGGGGGGGGAGCAGGCCTCGGGGAGCACGGAGGAGCACCGGGGGGCCCCCGGCAGCATAGAAGGGGAGCCTCGGGGAGCACCGGGGGGCCCCCGGCAGCATACAAGAAGGGGGGCCTCGGGGAGCACCGGGGGTCTTCCCGGAGGAGCATCTAAGGGTCCCCGGCATCACGGGGGGGGCAGGCCTCAGGGAGCACCGGCGGGGGGGGGGCCCCGGCCCACGGGGCGGGCCTCGGGGGGGGTCCGGCGGCACTCACGGGGTACACCGATCGCTGTACTCGTTGGCGATGGTCTCGATGCCGCCGCTTCGCGCCACGGCGATGTAGCAGTTGAGGAAGCCGAGGTCGATGCCGACCACAGACATGCTGCCGCTGCCGCCGAGCCGGGAGGGGCGCCTGCTGCGGGCTCGCCGTAGGGGCTACGAGGGGCGAGGAGGGGCCGGTGAGCCGGGCCGGGGCGGGAGCCGGGGGCCGGAGCCGGGGCCGGGCCTGAGTCACCGCCGCTTGCCTCGGAGCGTCTCTCCCCCACTGCGGTTCAGCAGCCACCAACCGGCAGTTAGTGGGCTCTGCGCCTGCGCGCTCGGTCGCCGGGGAGGTGTGCGCGCCGCCGCTCCCAGCGCCCACTCCCTCGCCCCCCTCCCAGCGGCCACCCGCCTCGGCTTCGGCAGCTTTCGGCGGCGCTCGGGCAACGGCGGCGGCCGAGTTCGAGAAAGATCTCGAAGACGTAGGAGGCCCGGCAGGGGCGGGGCGGGGCGGGGCGAGGAGAGGGGCGGGGCGAGTGCGTGGGCGGAGCCCCCCTCCCCCGGCCTCGCGCGTCTGGAGTCAGACCGACGTGGGGGGGCTAGGGGTGCGGGGGTCCGCGGCGGCGATCTCGGCGCTCCACGGGGCGGCCACCTGGGACCACCCCCAGCTCCTGCGGGCCGCAGTTTCCCCATCTGACCTAAGGGGGCCCCGCCTTGACAGCGCGCAACCCCCTCTTCTTAGTCAGTGGGCCCCCGCCCCCGCCCGAGGCCGCGCGCACCCACCAGCCGCAGCGGCGCTTCTCCCCGGGAGGGTGTGGACACGGCGCTTTGTCCTGGTCCCCATCCCGCTCCTTTGCACCCGATCGTGGGTGGCCGGGCCGCCTCGCGCCGTCTAACGCGGGGTCCGCCCGGCCTCCTGCGGCTGCGGGCCCCCGGATGGAGCAAGGGGGCGTGCGGGGCCCCCGGCCCCCTCTGCGTGTGAATGACAAGAGCCGTCCGGAAGTCCTGGCCCGGGCTCTGTCCGCGTCTGAAAATCCGCCCCGCCCCTCCCCCCCCCGGGGCCCCGGCACCCCAGGAGGCGTCCCCCCGCCCCCGGGACAGGGCCGGGGATGTAAAGGCAGATTGAGGCGTGCTGACCCCCTCCTTTCAGCCCAGCAGGAAGGCATTGAAGGAAAAGTTACAATTGAAGCGCACCATAGAATGTATCAGTATTTAGGAGTCTGCTCGTCGAGACGCACAAAGGAATTCTGGGAGTGCGACTCCTGAGCTAGGCAGACCTCAGGGGTCAGAGAGGGACTCGTTGGGTGTGGTTGGGCCCTGGCAACCTAATAAAGATGGCATTTCGCTGTGTCAATCATACTGGAGATGCAGCCGGACAAAATAGCATCTGTCCGGAGAAACGAAACAAAATTTGGTCAAGAATCTCACCAGAAGTGATGAAAAAAGTGGTCAGGAAAGTGGCCTACCGGCGCTTAACGGTGTGATAGAACCAGGTTGTCTTGAAAATGTGCCTTTTAGTGAGAACCCTTTGCCTTCAACCTTTGCTATGGAGTGATAGGATCAGCATCTACCTCTGCCTCAACTCGCCCAACATACAGTCAGAATTTAATGTTACCACAACCACTTAAAAGTACTTTTCAGTTCTTACGCTTTTTGAAAGGAAAAAAAAGTGCAGTTTGTGCTACCATCCTATTCCAAGTACCATAATAATTTCTTAAAGGAAATGGTATTGTAGCTTTCTCTACTAGGATTATACTCAAACTATGCAACAAAGCAGTAATCATTAAAGCTATTTGGTATTGTTTAAAAAATAGAAACGTTGATTAGTGGGTACATAGATTAGGAAAATAAGACCCAGAAGCAAGAAACAAAAACATAGTAGCATGGTGTTGGATAAAGCCAGAGACTTCAACTGCTGTGATGAGGACTTAACTATTTGCCAAAATCATTAGGAAAACTGGAAAGCAGTCCAGCAGAAATTAAGTTCAGAACACTATCTCACCCCCTATACTACAATAAACTCCAAATGGATACATGACCTAGATGTAAAAAGTCGCATAATAAATAAATTAGGAGAATGGAAAGGGCTATCTTTCACAGTTACAGAAAGGGGAAAACTTGTTCAAACAAAGAAAAGAGAGGATTAAAGAAGATAAAATGTACAAGTTTTATTACAAAAATCTAAAAGCTTTTGCACATAATGTAGCTAAAATCAGAATGGAAAATCAGAATGTAACTGGGAAATAGCTTTATATCAAGTTTCTCTAATAAAATTGTGACATCCAAGATATACAAAGTACTGATTCAATGTAGAAAAAGAGACAATCTAGTAAATAAGTGGTCAAAGATAATGGAGAGGCAGTTCTTGAAAATTCTACAATAACTATGAAAAATGCTCTGAATTACTCATGAGTAGATAAATGAAAATGAAAATAATTCTGATGTTCCGTCTCACATCCATCAGGTTGGCAAAGATGACAATAAGGGAAAAAGACAACTGTTGGAGGGCATATAAAAGGACAGGCACACTGAGGCACTTTTGGTAGACATGAAGAAATGGTGGGGGGAGATAGAGAAAAGAAATGATCCAAGAAGCACTTTACTAATGTGCTGAATTTAGTATAAACATACATACATGTACATATACATATATGTGTTTCATATACAGTACTCTTTTTCTGCACAGTCTGTGGAGATATTCATGTTTGTCAAGTTCAGAATAATGCAGAATGTTTAAAAAAAAGTAAAAAGACAGTAGTGTCTGTCCCTTACTGGTCACCTCTCTAGTTGTTACCAATGTCAAAAGAATCAACAACAATCAGTAATTAATAAACATTAAGTGCCTTGTATGTGCCAGTCACTGTGCTAAGCGAAGGAAAATCCCTAAGAGACAATTTTGGGGCTCAATCCCCAAATAGCTGAAAAGAAACTCGAGAATGCAAGCACCCCGAATGGGTCTACTAAGCCTTGTATGAACTGTACCTATGCCTAAGATGCTCCATCCCCACTCCATCCCCCCACTCTTCTGCCTCCTGGTTTCTTTGGATTTGTCTAAGACTCAGTTCAAATGCCACCTTCTGCATGAAGCCTTTCTCAGGTCCCCCAGCTACTAGTGCCTTCCCCTTTCAGATTACCTTCCATCTACTCTGTATACATCTTGTGTGTCCCTAGTTATTTACATGTTGTCTCCCTTGTTAGAATGTGAGCTCCTCAATACCATTACAGGGTCTGTATCCCAAAGAGATCATAAAAAAGGGAAAAGGACATATACAAAATATTTTAGCAGCTCTTTTTGTGGTGGCAAAGAATTGGAAACTGAAGGGATGCCCGTCAATTGAGGAAATGACTGAACATTGACAAGTTGTGATATGTGAATGTAACAGAATACCGTCATGCTATAAGAAATGATGAGCAGGATGCTCTCAGAAAAACTTGGAAAGGCTTATATGAACTGATGCAAAGTGAAATGAGCAGAACCAGGAGAGCAATATACACAGTAATAGCAACATTGTACAATGTTCAGCTGTGAATGACTTAGTTCTTCTCAGCAGTTCAATGATCCAGTGACAATTCTTGTCATTCAAGAATTTATCTTAAATCCCCATCACTTCTTGGGGATAAGGAACTAATTCCATAAACTTGCTCCGTGTTTTATCAAAAAAAAAGCTTGGATTTTTTTGTTTTTTGTTTTTTGTTTGTTGCTGTTCCTAATCAGAAGCCTTTTGAGTTTCCAGGGAGGTCACTGCTCTGCTAGTTTCACAATCCATTCCTCCTCCTCGTCCCAGGAACATAAGCTTTTTCAGGACAATCAGAATAGGCTTCCTGGGGGAAGCCTAGTTCTTAGAGCCAGGAGTGTAAGAACTCAGAAGCTCCTCAGGTAACAGGGCTCCGCCAACACCCAAAGAGCCAAAGCTCATTGACGTGCCCCTGAATCCCAGCCCTGAAGGAAAATTATCAGCACACTTTTCCCATTGATGCTGTCTATATTTGTGGGACAGCATCCACCATATTTATGGTGAAGATGTTTTGCAATAACTGTTTTTGCTGTGTCATCTGAGTAAATGCCTTTGCTAAAAGCTAAGGGGGTAAAAAAGAATGTGAAATCCTTGAAGATAGGAGCTCACAGAGCTCCACTTTGTGACTGCTGCCCTGCCTGGTTTTAGCTCCATGGAACAAGACTTCCCCAGGGCATGAAGTATTCCCTGGTATACCATTGCCCTTCAGATTCTAAGCTCCTTGAGGGCAGGGACTGTTTTTCTTTTTGTTAATTGTAGCCCCACTGTGTGCACAGTGCTTGGCACACCATAGGCACTTAATAAATGTTTATTGGATTGGTTTTGATTGGGTTGGATTGAATAGGGACTGGCTTTGCCTTTCTTTGAATCTCTAGCACTCAGCACAGTTGCTGGCACATAGTAAGTGCTTGGTAAATAAATGACTGACAGGTGTGCAATGGAAAGAGGCATCACTGGACGTGGAGTTAGGAGGACTTGGGGTTCAGATACTGATTCTGCCATCAATGTGACTTTGGGCCTCATCTCTAGGCGTCATCTTTAAAAAAAGGGAGCTAGACAAGAAGGCTTCTTAGGGTCTATGACATTATAATCAACAAGAGAAAATAATTTTACCCGGCAAAATTTTGTGTGGCTTTCACAAATCAAGAAAGGAAGACCTGAGTTCAAATTTGACTTCAGGTACTCCTGGCTGGGTAACCCTTGGGCAAGTCATTTTATGTCTTTCATGCATTTCGTGCATGTCTGCCTTAGTTTCTTCAACTATAAAATGAGGATGATAATAGTATTTACCTCCCCTGGCTGCTGTGAGGGTCAAATGAGATAGTATTTGTAAAAAGCAGTTGGCACAGTGCCTGGCACATAGGAGGCACTGTATCATTGCTCCTTCCCTTCCCTTCCCTTCCCCTCTCACATCAAACTGATAGAGCTTAGTGGTTCTTCCTGGTGTTCCCGTCTACCCTTACTTCTTCTTCTGGCCTCAAGTCACATGGGCTTGTGGGAGCAGGTGGTGGATCCTGAAAAGAAGTCAGGTTTGCCAAGGCATCCCAGTTGGTGTCCACATTGCTGGCATCTGTGGCTGCAGAGGCTGACTGTAATCATACTGCTATGTCAGAGAAGGCCGCGGGGCACCA